GCGTAGTTCGAGTATAGGGTGGCTAGTAAGAGAGGAAAGAAAACTCCGGACTTCGATCTTAAATCACAAAAAGACTTAGGTAACTCATGATAAATCTGGGATCATCTTAAATTTGGGATAAATTTAGGGTACCTTTTGCTGAGCTTATTTTAATACCTCGTATTAAGGTCTGATATTTTCCTGCCCCTTAAGGCGTGAGTACTTTTACTTGCTGGTTATATTGGTGCAATAGGCCTAACATAAGGAGAACTTGAGAACAATATTTGGATAGAACAGACTATGAGTATGATGGGTATTATGGGTGCTAAAATATAAGTATCTGGTTGGTAAGACAGGTTTTTTATTTTTATTTTTATTTAATTTTTAATTCATTTTTTTGGCCCCTGAAAACGATACAGGCTGAATCTGAATTGCGATGATAACGAAGCAAGCACAGTACTGAATAAATGCTTCTCGTGAAACGAAGGACACTACAAATTGGTTCCGCGCCTCCAAAATGGTCGAATCTAGTGCTGCAACCAGAAATGAGTATGATAGTAGTAGTGGTTTTTGACAATTTTGCGTGTACGATTCTTTAGCCATAAACACCACCTGTATATCAGCCTCCCTAAGTCCCATCCTTTCTAACAGCCCAGAGGTATACGTTTTCGCAGAAAAGCGAGTCCCAGATAGACATCCATTTTCCAAAACAACTCTCCAAACACCAAATGACAAAGAGAACGAAGCAGCAGGGTCAAGTTGGCTGTGTGCCTTGCCATATGCCGCGGATCAGAATGTGCAAAAAAAGAACCAATGTCTACCCCTTATAAATATTCGTATTCACCAAGAGGTTGGTGTTATTTTAAACAATGTTATACACTCTCTTGGCGATCATATAGCATGCCAGGCCAAAGAACAACAGACCAGCGGTAATCCAGAAGAACCACGTAAGGTCTCCTTCGTATTCCTGGCCTGGCACCCATACGTTCATACCCCAAAGACCCGTGATGATGTTCATGGGGAGCACAATCGTACCGAGAACAGTGAGCTTGCCGAGAACATCTGCCGTCTGTTCTTGACGCTCATTCATCCGTATGTTGATCTGTGCGAGGTAGTTACCATGAGATCGAGCCAGTATCCTGTACATATTAGCAAAATGTAGCTCCAGTCGTAAAGAAAAGCCTTACTTCTCATAGTGGCCCAGGTTGGCTGTCATTGTGACGATATGGTCTTGAATGTCACCGAGATACAGACCAATTTCAGACCGTGGCGCAACCTCCCACCGCTCATTGCAACGCTTAGCAAATCCCTTTATTACATCTGCCTTGTTGCCTAGCAGCCTGTATAGACTCATAACTCGCTTTCTGCAATCTCCCACTCGCCGAAGCATATCTGTGCTTGGATCTGAGTTTGTAAGTGCATCGTCATTCTTGGAGGAGGTCTCGTTAAGTCGCTTGTCAGCGGACGAATGCAACTTTAGGATGGCATCGTCGATCTCGTCAACCTCGTCCTCAATATTCTGTATCAAGGGAGCAAACACGTCGGTAATGTCGTCGATAATAGCGTATGAGATCCAATCTGAAGAAAGAATAAGATAATCTTTCAGTTGCCGGATTCTGCGTCGGACATTGGCGGGATGAGGTGTCTTGGAGAAGTGAAAGCTGAGAACGCCTTCACGAAAGACCACCACATACATATCAACTGGCTCAAGAAAGTTATCGCTGTTGTTGTCTTGGTCGAAGGACCGATAGTTAACGAAGTAATAATGTCGGAAGAGCTCGACCTTCTCGCGAGCCTCCTGGAGCATAATATCCTCTGCAGTAAGTGGGTGAATACCAAAAGCTTTAGATATGACCTTCATCTCAGGCTCCGTTGGGCAGAGGACATCAAGCCACCAGACTGGTCTTTCTCCGTACCTGACAGCCCTTTCCTTTGGTTCGCCTGCAGTGTTCTGAGAAACATGAACACTTTCATCGGCAGACTTTCGTCCAGTAGGTGTAGCACGTCCAGATTCGCTTCTTGAAGCAGCATGGGCGAGAGGATCCTTGAGCGGCGACGTAGTCCCTTCCCGCAAGTCGTGGTGATCATGGACTGTCGACAGTGATGGCTGGCGTGTGTGAACTTTGGAGTTACCCTCTGCAGGGTTGCTATGATGGCGCAAGCCTGTTGTAAGAGGTGTAGGTTCCATATCGTCTTCGTCTGATTCGTCGTCGGATAGAACCCGAGGATCTGGAACAAAAAGTTCCCGGAAGCCACCACCAGGCTGAACCAGCTCAGAGATAGTCTGACTGTGAATTGTGCTCTGGAACTCCTCGTTGAAATACGTGAATCGATATGGAGACTCCTCGTCCGTCTGGTACCATCCCTTACGCACAGGGCGCAAGCGGCCGTTGATGAGCTGCGGTTCTGTGATTCTCTTGACACGGCGCTCCTCTGTTCGGTCCTCCTTTTCCATGTGGCTCCATTCCTCCAGCACAGATAAGTCAGGCCATTGACCACGGCGACGGCGCGTGCGATACTGTCGGTGCTCATGAGCCTGCGATTGTGTATCGTCATCTCCGAGCTCTGACATCCCAGGACCAGGAAAGCAAACGTCCTGCTCAGCTCCGGTTGCCATTCGCCGGCCCATATCAGGGCGATTGCCACCAATGCCCTCCATGTCGGAGAGGATGTCGATGTCACCCATCATGCGATGCGGAGAGTCGTCGCGACTTGCCCCGAGCCCATCCCGAATCATAACATCCCCCAAGCTTAGTTCTATACGGTCCGCGGTACCAAAAGTGGGCGAGCCTGGCATGGATGGAGGGGCGTTGACATCGTAGTTATCTCTTGCGCCAGACGAAGTTCCTAGGCGTGTCGTCGAAGACTTGATAGACGCGCGACGACTTTTCGTTTGGTTTGATCTTGCGTCACTTGCGCCGTAACCCGAAGTCACTGATTCGCCGAGAAGTGGTGCGTTTTCGTCCCACGGTGTGTGATCAGGATGCTCTTCCTCAGCAGAGACAGCTGGTATCGATCGTAGACGGTTGTTAGCTGAACCCGAGTAAGGTGATACTGGTATGCCGCTGGCAGCTGGCGTCGTTGATGCTCGACGGGGACGCAATGGTTGATGGTCCCTGGACGTTTTTGTTAGGAAATTGCCCCCAATAGTCGTCCCGGCCTGTCTAGCTTACCGATGATCCAGCAATGCCTCACTATCTATACTGGTATTGCTCAAGTTCGCTCTCGGAAGATTGAAGAACCCTTCTCCCGTTGCTTCGCGATCCTCATCGTGATCGTCATCATCATCCAATGCCGCAAAACTCTTTCTGCGCGTTCGCTTCTTCCTGCCGCCGCGATGGCCCTTCCTCTTCCTAGCCTTGGATGCGTTGGAGTTATTTGACGACTCAGGAGCCTGAAGTTGATTGGAGGTCGAAGCAGGAGGAGTCGCTTTGCTAGTGCTTCCCAGGTCGGCAAAACGATTGCTAGACATCGCGAATACCTTCAATGGGTGAACGAGCGTTTTTGAGACGTAGGGGAAGAAAGAAGGCCGAGGAGGAGAGGAAGACCACCAACGCCCAAGGTGCAGTGGGATTTCTCGCTTGGAGCTGCAAATCAAGAGGTACAGAGTAATGATGTCAGCTATCAATTGTTGACAGGGGTGTAGTTTCCACTAACAGACAACCTTGAGATAGTGGAGGTCAGGAGCAGGCCAAGAATCGCCTTATTTTTTAGAGTTAAGATATGATTCGGGTTTTTCTACAAAGACTTCTCATCGCTTACACTTTGTTCTGTATAATATTGGTCGTGGTAAACGGCCGACGGCCACAGTTGCTGCCCACGTGATGCATTCACAGTAACAGGCTGACCAGTAACCTGTGGCGATGTACTTGCTGTAAATAGCAACGGATCCCCACGTCTGGATGATTCGCTTCTGGTCTTCAGTGATACTGTAGATATGGAGGTTACATAAGGTAGTACCTGTACGGTAGACAATTCAGTGGTCGGTAAGTACTTACCTAGGTACCCATTGAACTAGGTAGGTAAGGTAGGTACTTGATGCGCCGACTTGTTCTGTGGTCAGTAAGGTATTGGTCTGAGCCAGACTACCTTAGTACTTACCTAGGTACCTGGCTGCCTGGGTAGTCTAAGGTACCACGAAACCCAGGAGGCCAGCGGCCCGGCTTGGTTAGTCGGCACCGGCGCTCTTGCTCAGGGTTTGATCACCCTCGTTCAGCGAGCATCACCCTAAATCACCTTCTACGCCAGTGCCGAGGAGGGAGCATATTGGATGGCGAGCCCGGTTACGGCACCCTAACAGAGAAGGATCACGGATTTCTTGAACCGGGGCCAAAACAATGTATGTCTCTAAGACCATTTCAGCGTCTCTATATTAATCAGGCTTTTAGATTGTCGGCAATGGGAAGCAAGATGGGACAGATGGTGAAGGCGAATCGGGTGGCCTACAACTGTGACTGAGCACGCCGTCGCCGGGACCGATGACGGGGGAAATGTGCTTATGGTGATTTAGGACGACGAGGTTGACGACCGACGAGAACTAAGGTAATAAGTAACGCGACAGATGCTTACGCTAACGTGGGGTATCGTGTGGGGCGATTCGTGGGAACTTGTGGCACATACCTAGTCTGTAGCTCTCAGAGTACCTAACTTAGCCAAAGCTGAGATACTGCGACCCATGTACAGATTGCTAGACTACCTATAAGATCATGCATGATTCAATTATATGGAAGCGATGCCGGAGGCGGGCGTAAATGCTCCGCACACCAGTCCCCAACCGTGATTGGTTCAAAATATCTTTTTGAGGCTACCCTTAGGGTCAGGGTTGGTTTTGGGGCGGTTGACTCACGGAGCTACGTCAGTAGAAAGAATTTTCCCCCGCCCCGATTGCGCGCAGCCGGCCCAGCACTTCTTACATCTGTTCGCAACCTCCAACCCAGCCAAAAGAGAAAGACAAAAACCTCTACCTTCCGCGACACAACCCGAGCTCTCAAACACCTACCCTTGTGCCAAATCGATTCGTTATGTGCGGCACTGATAATGGCACGGCCGGCGCCGCGGTCAAGCATCCGGCGCAGAACCAGAACCCCGCCACCTCGGCTTATAGCCAAGTGCAAGACTACTTGAGCAACGTCAACAACTACAAGTGGGTTTCTTCTTCAACGACATGACAGTATACGGCCCTGATCACGTTCCAGAATCATTGAGAGCACGCTGAGGGAAGGCGAGCAATTTGCCAATGCTTGGCTGTCGCAAGCTCGTTCGTACACACCTCCGTCCTGTGCTTCCTGGAAATGTCGAGGAATATTAACAATCTTTCTCCACAGAGAAGATCAAGATCGCAAAGATGCTCGAGTAATTTCCTCATACAACGTCCATAAGTGATCATCAGACTGACTGAATAGCGAATTCGGTGTCGATTACATCGAATTGACTTCGGTCGTCTCGAGTCCAGCTGCTTTTGAAGACTGCAAGGCTATCTGCAATCTGGGTCTGAAGGTAATGATCTACTGCTCGCGTGCTTCAACCGATGACTAATATGCTTGCAGGCCAAGATTCTCACACATGTCCGCTGCAATATGGACGACGCCAAAAAGGCGATAGAGGCGTACGTGTCCAGACAAAAAGTGACCTTTAGGCGCCGACTCTAACCCAAACCCCCAGCGGCGTGGACGGCGTAGACCTCGTCATCGGGACGAGTAGCCTACTAAGGGAACACAGTCATGGGAAGAGCATGGAAATCATAACGAAGACTGCGCTCGAGGTCATTGAATACGTCAAGTCGTGAGTCGCTGTTAGTCGCCTTGTAACCTGGGGGGTACTTACAACTGGTAATAGCAAGGGCGTTGAAGTGCGCTTTTCGTCAGAAGACTCCTTCCGTTCCGATCTGGTCGATATCCTGGCGCTCTACAAGGCCGTGTAAGTCATCTTGAATTCAAGATCAACATTGGTTTCTGCTGACAACGGTTTAGTGACAAGGCTGGAGTAGACCGCGTTGGGGTTGCGGATACGGTTGGAGGAGCTACTCCGCGAATGGTCTACGATCTAATCCGAACTCTCCGAGGTATGTGATCGTTCAATTTGGGCTAGATGTTTGTAGTTGGTACGCTGACGGTACACTAGGTGTTGTTGGCTGCGATATTGGTAGGTCCCTCCTTCTCTTTGCGGATCTGTCGTTGGGGACAAACCCTTTTCTCAATTCGGGCGACCTTGCCCTATCAACCTCGATCTGGCCACGCAGAAGGCCCTTCCATCACCTCGACCGTCATGCGTTTCAATTTGGTGCCAGTGACCGGCGTCTTTGGTTGCAAGGAGAGGAGACAACAGGCTTCAACGACGTTTTCAGGGCACGGCACCTTTTGTATGCGACATGCCTCCACTCTTGATGCACTAAGTTGACCCGACCTGTGGCTGGCCCTGGCTTATTCAACTGTTACTTACGGATCGAGGTTGCAATATCTTTGACAGCCACCATCAAAGCGGATGCCGGGTTGTCCGGACAGAAAGGGGTTGTCGGATGTGCACCCCCCTTCACAACGCCTCTTCCAACACTTGCCTCCCCACTTGTCACCACCTTTCAGCACCTTTATTGAGTCTCTTCTAACATTTCTCTTTAAATAGAGTGCCATTTCCATAATGACACAGGCTGTGCCGTAGCGTAAGCTCGTCTCTCAGTAGATGGAGGCGACAGCAGGCTTACAAGTTTTATAGGAACGCATTGATGGCCCTCGAAGCAGGCGCTTCGCATATCGATACCAGTATACTTGGTATCGGCGAACGTGAGCCGCCTATTTCTCCGACCTTGGAAAGAATTCTGCTGACTTTAGTACACAGGAAACGGCATCACACCACTGTAAGTGCCCTCTATCAAGCACTGAAGGTAACTGGAAGACCATTGTAAAGATAACTGACGAGATCATAAAGCGGCGCATTGATGGCGCGCATGGTTGTAACAGCTCCCGAGTACACTAAGTCCAAGTACGTTTTTAGACCCTTTTCGCCGTTCTTCCACTTTGCGTATTTTTGACACGCATCAGATATAATCTCAAGATGGTTAAGGAGCTCGACGAGTTCGTAGCCAGTGTTGTTGAGGTCAACATTCCATTTTCGGAGCCTATTAGCGGATTCTGTGCCTTTACGCACAAGGCGGGCATCCACGCCAAAGGTATAAGACTAGCATCGGAATTTTTTGCTTCCCTCTTTCTATTGTTACTGATAATGCATAGCTATTCTGGCGAATCCCTCGACCTACGAGGTGAGTATCCCCTCACCAGGCACCACTTGACCGATTGCTGACACATGATAGATCATTGATCCTACTATCTTTGGCCGTATGAGTTGCCCTCTTCTCCTTCTAAGAGTCTTGAGTAGCTGACGTTTTAGTGACTCGCTACATTTCGGTTGCTTCGAGAGTGACAGGGTGGCACGCAGTTAAGAGTAGGGTTGTGCAACTTGGCCTGGAAGACCAATTCACAGACGATGAAGTCAAGGCAGTGTATGTTTCTCGTTCCCCCACTAAAACTAGAAATAGGCCGATAGCTGACACATTGCAAAGCACGGCGAAGGTGAAGCAGATGGGCGACGTTCGCCCAATTGCAATCGACGATGTCGATTCACTAATTCACGCGCACCATCTCGACATTAGACAGGGAAGAGAAGGGTCGACTGCCCTGGAGACTCCCGAGACTGCTTGAGCTGAATGGAAGCTGACGAGGATTGGGAAGACGAAAAATTGAAGACCAGGTTGTGCCGGACTGATGGGCGTCGTAATAGGTCTAGGAAAAAACGGGCCAAAGTCTGGACAAGCGACTGTGCCAAACAGCCCCTTCCTCGGTCGGTTGGGAGCAGCACGTCACTCATAAAAATTTCCTATGTAAAGCTATAAAATGGCGAAGAGAATTAACCCAGGCTTGTATCTGGTGGAAGGCGATCCGTTTAAATACTGTCGTGAAAGCCGAGCCTGTAACAGCACATGGCTGTACTCAGGTACCTTAAGCTGGGAGCCTGGCTCAGCTACCTTACGCCGCACAAAGCCAAAACCTATGGCATCAGCACATACCTATCCGTATGATTTTGATCACGGTTACGGTGGATAGCATGATCTGCCAGATGCGACTACTGAGGTGATCTAATGGTTGATACAGCCGCCGGCAACTCATCTTAAGGGCGAGCCTCACCATGCGCAACATCCACCCTCACAGGCTCTATAGACAAGAGAACCACGTTCAGGATGCAACGGGAACGCAGACTCAATACGGCCTAACGCGAAGACAAGTGATCAGAGGTGCAGGTAGGCTCTATGTATAAGACGCATGGAGCCTGGAGCTGGCCTGTACCAGGGCGCTGGTACACAGTGTGATAATCCGTGCTAGTAACGACATGGGCTCGGTGCTCAGCTCAGGCTTCATCACCTACTTGATCACCCTTGCGCAGGGTGAAGCGGTGACAGCTTAGGTAGCCTTGGCGCCGAAAACGGATTCGGAAGGCAGCGTCTGTCGGGTGTGATGCGACTAAACCACGATGCCTATTTGCATCTACAGCACAGCACCATTGGATGTACTGCAAGGCAAGGCATGCATGTGAACGGACGCGCTCCTGGTGCTGAATAATTTTCACCGGAATCAATCCTCAGCGAAGGCGCGGAGTGGTCTAATGCGATAGACTAGAAATTCTATTCTCTTCGGAGGCGTCTGTTCGAATCAGGCCCGCGTCGATGGGACCGATCACTTGCAGGGTCGGATGTTGTCTTTTTGTATACATACCTATTTCACGGCACAAGTTGGGAGATTGTCGCCTACCTACTACTTACCCAAGGCAAGATAGTCTTCAGCTTTCTTGGCTCCAGATCTCCGTTACTTTATGTGTGACTTTGGCATCTCTCTTTAAATTTCCAGATCTTTAGAGGTAAGTCATCCCTGATATGTTAGGTCTAAATCTCTATTATCATTAGCATATATTCTGCTAACATATACTGGGGTAGTACTGAGTTCCGTGCTTTCCCTATGGAACCAGTCTCCGCCATAACAACATATACATGGTATTAAAAATAAGCCTAAATCAACCTCAGTTGCCAAAATCCCACAATTTAACCAGCAAGCTATCTGGTTCGGCCTCAGCCTCCCCGTCATTTGGCGTGAAGACCTTTTTAGGGATGTGGAACTCGATAACAGGCGCCTTCTTTACATCCTTTGTCATCTCGGCTTCGAGGAGCTATGTGACTGTTAGCAAAGTACCCGACATGTATTGCCGAAAGAATGGGGACTTACAGTGGCATATGAATGGTCGAGGAAATCTTCGATGTTGTAAGACTGCTTCGTGAACTGCTCAGAGATGATCTTGGTGATAGTTGCAACGTTAGGATGATAATGCGATTGAAGTTGAACAAGCTCCCAAAGGCAGCTTTCTATCGCATCTGTTTGCATAGGGTCCGCCTCTTCGGATAGGAAAGGATCATCGACACCGTGCTCCTCAATTTGCTTCTTCACCTCTGGATCTTGAACCTCTCGATGAATCATGAATGTACATGTTGGGTGACGCTTGAGCAGGTTGTAGATCCAAGGAGTCACGAAAACGATAGCTCCAGGGGGTGCGTTGAGCGTAAGACGAGCAAGGCGCTTGATGAAGCTGGCCACCATGGCCGCTGGTAGATGTGTCGAAGCAAGAAATGTGTCTAGAAGACGGAAGAATCGGGATCGATGCTTGGAGTGAAGAATGTCGCGGTCGAGGAGAGAGTAGAGCTTGGTATAGAATGAAGGATAGTCAAGGTTGCGTTCCGAAATCAAGTAAAAGACACCGGACAGAGCCAAAAGAGACATTGAACCGCCCGAATCGTAGCAATTTGTCAAAAAGTCCGAAAGTAACTCAGGTTTTGTGAACCAAGGAGCAATCACGGTCGAGATGACGTTGAGAATTTGCTTTCGCTGGTCCTTTTCCTCAACAAGGGTCATAAGAGAGAGCCATGCCTCCTGAGCTTGTTTCTTGTGCTGATTGACGTTTCGTAGGTTATGAGTCTTCTTCTTTGGTTTGGGAACGAAGAAATCTTCAAGCTGATCGGCAGATTCAGGGACACCGTCCAAAGCTGACAAGAGCGCAAAGCATCGATCAAAGAGCTCTGGCGAAGCATTGCCTTCTTGTTTCTCTACGATGTGTCTAGGTGATGGTCAGTCAAGAGCTCCCTGAGTTAGCGTTTAAAAAGAATCAGAGACGACTTACTTGACTGCGTTGAAGGTAAAGTAGCGGATATCATCATATTGCTCCACGTACTCTTCCACATATGCCTTGATCACATCCTCATTTTCGCTCTCGAATAATGAGGAAACGATCTCTCGAAGGAAAGCTCGAGGGAAGGTGTACTCGTCCTTGTCATAAAGGAACTCGCCCTCTGCCTTGAGTGTTTTCATGCATAAGGTCAATGCTGGGGTCGCCAACTCTTCATCCTGTAGAATAGTAACCAGAATTTTCTTGAACTCGGCAAACCGCTCCTTCAACCATCCCACAATAAAAAGGTCTTTCTCAGATAGAGTTTTCTTGGCGATCAAAGAGCCTTGAGTGAGTAACCGGATAAAGATTCGGCACAAGACAACTGTAGAGAGCATGCTCTCCTGGCCCCCATTCTTAAAGTCATTTGCAGTACTGAGCAGAATCGTGAGGTCGTTATAGTTCTTCCGTGACTCTAAAATCCCTTCTTCTATTGAGAGAATCTTAGCGCTGGCGTCTTCGGATTCATTGCTGGAAATTGATGATGCTCTCTTTCGTCGCCCAGTAGTGGACTTCTCATGAGTTGAAGAAGACCTCTTGCGCTTGAGGCCCTCTGCGGAGGCCGCTTTTGGCATCGTGGGTTTGCTAGAAGAGTGTGATAAATCCGTTTGATATAATTTACGCAGTAAAATGAACTGCTGATTTTTCCTTTTTTAAAAAAGTTGAAGGCCTTACTTTGAGAAAAACTTCCTTCATTCAAGTTCATGAAAGCGATTCATGAAAGCGAAATCTCGAAATCTTTCTTCATCGTCGAAATTTTGGCCAATCATATCCACTCATGAGCCAACGGGAAAATGCCGGCTCCAGATCTCAATGTACTGCACTCAGGTCACGTGCTCTTGATTGTTGCCGAACTAGCGCGATAAAACCTCAACCTCACTTCCAGCTCTCCGATCAACGACAAGCCCCGGATACCCCCATCACGAACCATCTCACAATGGCGTCACGCTTGGCACGAAGCGCCGTCGGTATGTGAAGAAATCTCGAAACCCTCGAACCGAACCCAATTCGAACCCAATTGGCGCACCACCGACTCATGCTGACTCCCTGTGTGTAGGCGCTCCCCTCCTCCGACCCGTCCTCGCCCGCCGAGCTGCCCCTGCCATCTCTGTTGCCGCCGCGCGATACAACAGCAATGTTCCCGCCGAGGACCCCAAGAAGAAGGCTCAGAGCATCATTGACGCTCTTCCCGGTAACAGCCTGCTCAGCAAGAGCGCCATCCTGAGCTCCGCCGCTGGTCTTTCCATCTACGCCATTTCTAGCGAGTACTACGTCATGAACGAGGAGACCATCATCGCCATCTCTCTTCTCTCAGTCTGGGGTGCCTTGATCAAGTACGGTGGCCCGGCCTACAGGGAGTGGGCTGAGACGCAGAACAACAAGATCAAGAACATCCTCAACAGCGCCCGTGCCGACCACACCGAGGCCGTTAAGGGCCGCATTGAGGACGTCAAGCAGATGGGCAGTGTTGTCGAGATCACCAAGAACCTCTTCGAGGTTTCCAAGGTAATTCCGAAGTGTCCATTGAATGGTAGCTGGAAATGTGGCTGATTATGGTTGTGTTTGTAGGAGACCGCCAAGCTTGAGGCTGAGGCTTTCGAGTTGGAGCAGAAGACTGCTCTTGCTGCTGAGGCCAAAACCGTCCTTGACTCTTGGGTCCGATACGAAGGCCAGGTCAAGCAGCGACAGCAGAAGGAGCTCGCTCAGTCCGTTATCGCAAAGGTCCAGAAGGAGCTTGAGAACCCTAAGGTCCTTCAACAGATCCTCCAGCAGAGTGTTGCTGATATTGAGAGTACGTGTAGCCAATTGTTGCCAATCAATATCATTACTAACCTTTCCCCCCCAGAGATCGTTGCCTCCAAGGCCCAATAGATAATTACACGCCGCCGCTAGAGTCTCAGCCCCTAGATTCCACGGTTTTTCTTTGTACCCCTTCTGTGTCATAACAACACCTGTGCATTAGCCGAATCAATCAAGACCCTAGTTATTTCAATGTCGGAAAGCTGTTACCCGTGAGATCTTTGGAAGTTTTGGGTCGATTGTGTTCAATTGGGTTTGTCGGAGCTTGTAAATTGCTCGTCGGGAAAGGTCGGGATCTCCGATATCGCCTATTCTCGGCGTATAGCGAATGTCCAAAACAAAACACTTCAGCACAACGACTTGGTCATTCGTAGTGAATCATTTCGACAAATGCCCGTCGTACACTGTAGCAGTCTTTCGCAAGTTGTCTCATTTGGTCACAATGCTTCATCGTTTCTCGAGGCTTTTTGATCAATGCGAATATGGGTTGTTCTGAAACTATCGTGCATCTACACATGATTAATCATACATGGAAAAGACTAGCCACCTCCAACGCCAATTCCGATTCCAAAGACAGATGCTCTATGCTCCGGATATCTTTGTCCAAGAGAGCCACCCCCTTTCGTCAAACATGTAGGAAATGGTAATTAAGAAATGCGTAAAGCAGGACACTTGACGAGAAATATTGAACATGAATATTAGTAGATCGGTCTCGATTCCTCCCACTTTTTAACATCTGGGGTTGTCTTTGTTGGCTCTGGAGACTCTAACTGAGAGTTAGGACCGAGTGATATTCGGCCGCTCCGTCGCCTCCTTGCACCGTCGCCAGCAACAGGGCCAATCCACTCCCAAGCGCGACCTACCTCGCCGCTTCTTCCTTCGCGCTGACTGGTTCGAACATTGCTGTTTTGTTCTACAACAGCTCGAACCCGCTGCCAGATGCGTTGTCGCTCAGACAACGAGTGATAAGCCCGGAGGACGTCATCTCTCAAGTTCGGTAAAAATAACCAAGGATCATCGATGCCTTCTTCACCTAGTTCCTTCTGATTGGCAAGCCTACCCAGTACTAGGTCGACGAGAGCAGGAATCTGAGCAGTTGTAGCTACGTGCTTCCGATATCGGGCTCGCAAGTAGAAAACAACGAGAATTAAAACAATCAGAAATCCAGCCGGGAATCGATATCTTGCCAGGCCGAGTCGGATTGATCGTTTGATCGCGCAGGTGTACGGAAGGCGAGCGAGAGACGAGGACGATAGCCATCTGTCTGAAAGATCGGAGGAATTGGACGATCTGTAGGGTCAATGGTGGATCTGGTTAGTCAATAGTCAGAAACAGTTGGAGCAATGAAATTGTCGCCAGATCGGTCATGAATATCCTGAGCTGTGAAGAGAGAAAGAACTTACGGTGCTGTCTCGATGATCTCGACCTCATCTCTAGCTGCGACCTCGCCAATGGCGGCAGCCCACAGTTCGTCAAACTCCTCCTCGTTGAGTCTCTTGGACCTCTTGCGGCTCACGGTCGCCTTAAGCTCGTGTTCAGCCATCGCAGGAGATTCCTCTTTCTTGCCATCCTCACCAACAAGCTCTCCGCACTCATACTGAGCTCGGCGATCTCTCAGTTCCTCAATAGCTCTATCAGCTACAGCTTTAACGCGGCGCGCTTTCTCGCCGTCCGGCTCACAAGTAGGTGGAAGTGGCACTAGCCCACCGAGAGACAATGGGTGCGGCTTGAGAATAAAACCATTCTCGCAACGAACCGAAAAGTCATGGTAACAGTACGCGTGCGAAGGGCAAGGCTCGCACCGAGGCTCAAGGAAAGGAAGAAGAACGTCGGGGACGGGAATGTCTTGTGGAAAAAGTGGTTTTGCTTGACCACCGACTTCGCAATAGCCAACCGCGATCTTCTCTTGACGATACCACGCAAGGTAAGCTCCAAAAAGAGACATCAAGAGGACAAAGAGAGGTGCCTTAAAACCACCTCTTCGAGATACCTGATGAGAAGGCTTGCGAGGCTCGATCTCCATTTCACCCCGACTTGCAGCCTGCTCCAATTCTAATTGCTCGTTCGGGGTGAACTCCTCGCCAGGTTCCAGTAAGTCCGGAGTCGGCTCGCGGTATCTGGGAGTAGGCTCAACGTCATCTTCATCATAGTCATTGTAGCCACCTGTCCTGCGCCAGGACGATGGTTTTACACTTCTGATGGAGTCGCCGGCAGTTGTACGGCGGCGATTGGTGGGTGTTTTATGTTGAGCAGGCGAACTGCCACTCTGAAAAGGGTTGTCGTGAGTGAACACGCTTTCTTCGTGGTCGGGCAGGATTGTTTCCTCTTCTTGTGGTTCATCTTTAATTTGTGGCGTAACTGTTCTCCTCGGTTGGCGAACAGAACGAGGGGCATCGAAGTTGTCGTGGTCGTCAGCATGAGAAAGCGCACGGCTTACTGACCGTGTGCTGCGTTTGGTAGGACTCCTGGGCACAGGGGTCGCCAAAACATCATCCTCAGCCTTAGCACGTGCCGACGACTTTCGAGGAGACTTCGAACGCCTCTTAGTAGTCGATAGAGGTGGGAGATCGTAGTCATCCCAGGTGCCGTTATCTTCCGGACTGCCAGCATTCACGATTCCCATGCTTGATCTCTTAGCTCGGGCGCGCTGAGCCCGCAGCTTTGGTGCCTGAGCCAGTACATGATCCTCAACCAGCTCGACAAGCTGGGCCTTTTTTGCAGTCGCGGGGTACTCAACGTTATGCGTGACAAGAATCGATCGCAGACGCGGAATAGTGACTGAACGTGGGTCAAACCCTTCTTCGAGGTAGTCCTCCATGTCGGCCATGTCGAAAGTCGAGACCAAGGAAGAGCGCGATAAGCGAAAAGGGTTTCAGAGCATTAACGACGATGACGGTGCGGGATGATGTTCAGGCCGCAGGAATGAGACCGCCTAGTTATGCCTTGAGCTAGAGCTTTGTGTAGGCGGGAAGAGAACAACAAAGATAGGCCACGCAACACTCCTGATCTCTCACGATGGCTCTCTGTGACGATGAAGACAGGAGGAAATTGATCAGATTTCCTCTTCACAAGAACAAACTGCAAAAAGAAGCAAATTTTAGGCGCAGTGGGGGAATGGATCGTGTGAAAAGGGCTTGTCTCTGGGTTGACAGGCGAATTGTTGATGACGGGCGCGGGTGAGACCCTTGACGCAATGATAAATTGAGTAGCCCGGTTGTCTGTGGCAACTCAAATCAAGCTCGTGGTACGGAGGCACTCCCCTGTCACTTGACCCGCTGGATCTTCCACCCTAGGCCACCCCATGTGAGTGTGCCTGTTATTAAAGGGGTAAGGGCTCGAAGAGGTGTGTGTGTATTCTCTAGCTAGGATCCTGTGGTCAGGCTACATATAGAGATATAGGGCCTAAGGGCCTGAGGCATATATCTTAACACTACCCTATAGCCTGATCTACGGGTTAAGTAAAGCTATCTTATTATATATTATAGCTCTCTATAGCCTTCTTCTTAGTATTTTCCTTGCTTTATAACCTTATTTTTTTTTATAATCTATTTTCTTTTAATTAATTTTTTAC